CGCTAAGCCTCGGCTCTTATCGCCCAAGGCTACGTGGAAAGAACCTTGGCGAGGGCAGGTCGGGCTCGCTCGGAGTTGCCAGGGACGGAGGCCCGGCTCGGCACGGGGAAACCCGCAGGCAGTGTGGGTGCCAGGCGGCTGCCGAGTGGAGCGATCACCTGGCCTTGGCCCCGCGCTCGCCGCCGCCCGGACTCCAGCCTTCCCCAAGCTGCTGCCGGGACAGGCTTGCTGACATTTCCAGGGTGATTAACTCAGACCTCAGTCTCCTGTTCGTGGAGAGAGAGCTGCTTGTGGGCTCGATGCTTCGGAACTTCGTGGTGTAAATCCTGGGCTGTGCTGCTTGAAATACAGTCCATGGGAGAGTTATTCATACTGTAATCACTCGGCTAGGCTTCGTAAGTTTACTTCAAAAGTAAAGGGATACTCTTAATTCCTAAACTCCAGCAGAGTTTCCTTCTAAGTGGATAAAGCCAGTTTTGTAGCTGTGGTGCCCCCATTGCCCTTCCTACCACTCCGCAGCAAGTACCGCAAACCCAAACTGCAAATTCTGGGTCCTGATCATACCAGGCAACTGAGGCGGTTACAGTTCCAGAGTTAAAAACACGCTAGAACGTTCTTAAAGCCTTTGTCAGACAAGCGTCTGTGACTTTGGAGAAGATCCCATTTCAGAAGTAAAAGAGACAAATCTCAAGGAGTAGGCTGCTTATCTCTGCCTCGACTTGTGAGATCATCCGTTTCTTTGAGACATCTTTGTAAGGCAAAGTGAGTTGGGCCACTGTTCACAAGCATTTGAAAGCACAGTGGCTGAGCAGGGTCAGGGGAGCAGCACGCACACTGAGTTGTCAGGGCACCCTTGTCCCTCACACGCAGAATTATCTCATATTTCCATATCCAGACATACGGCCTTTGACCTTTGTATGGATTTCAAGATCAAGGCAGGACACTGTGTGCATAGGAGAGAGGTGAAGTCCAATGGCCAAGGTCCCAACTGGACTTTAAAGACTGCATCCAGGGGGCTGGATTGTGGTCAGTGGGTTCAGCCGCCACTTGGGACACCAGCATCCCGGCTTCCTATCCAGTGTCCTGCACATGCACGTGGGAAGTCAGTGAGGATGACCTGGATACTTGGGCCCCTGCCACCCTTCTGGGAGCCCAGGATGGAGTTCACAGTTCAGTTGCTGTTGTGTCCACTTGGGGAGTGAACTAGCAGATGGAAGATCGATCTCTCTCTCCCTCTCTCTCTCTCTTTCAAATAAATAAATCAGTCTTAAAAAAAAAAAAAAAAAGGTATCCAGGCACGTTTGCTGTGCTTGTAAGAAGGATCTTCAAAAAGTTTGTGCAAATGTGTATTATGTAAAAACGAGGCACTGATTTCAAAAAATTTTTTTTCACGAAAACATTTCTCTTGATTCTACTTTTTTTTTTTTTAATTGACGTTTCTTTTTTTTTTTAATTTGTTTATCTGAGAGGCAGAGGTACAGAGGGGTCTTCCATCCACGGGTTTACTCTGCAAATGGCCACAATGGCCAGAGCAGGGCCAATTCGAAGATGGGAACCAGGTGCTTCTTCCAGGTCTCTCTCACAGGTGCAGGGACCCAAGCGCTTGGGCCATCTTCCACGCTTTCCCAGGCCACCGGCAAAGAGCTGGATCAGAAGCGGAGCAGCCAGGGCTTGAACTGGCACCCATATGGGGTTCCGGTGCTGCAGGTGGCGGCGTAACCTTCCATGCCAGCCCCAATTCTACTTTGTATTGAACTTTTGAAGGAGCAAAGTAGCCGTCTGCAGCACCCAGCACAGGACCAGGGCACAGATGTGTGACTTTTGAACGAATTCTCCTGTGGACTGTGTGGTGCCTCATGGCTGTCAGTGGATTCTGTTGCCTCAGTCAGCAGTTCTGAGAGGAAGTTGCTCTGTACCAAAGAACCTCAAGAGCCCAGGGGTTCTCAGCCCTCTTGCCTTAAACATGGGGGTCTTTGAAAAGACTGATGCCAGTGGCCTGCCCAGAGATTCTCATTTCATTGCTGTCTGGGTTGTGACTTGGGCATCTGCATTTTGTCAGCTTCCCAGAGGATTCTTACGTGCAGCTGGGTTGAGGACCACTTTCATGTTTTCAGAACTCACTCCTTGCCTTAGGCCTTGTAAGCTGGAAGCAGCCCTGGTGAGAGAGAAGGGATGTGATTCATGGGTGGTTGTATGCTCCCTGGCAAGCTAAGAGGTTCTCACATCAGCTTACAGTAGGCTGAGGGATCCTTCTCTATTTTAAATATTCCTTTATGTTAATGACGCTTAAACATCTCCATCTGCCCTCAGCTCCTCGCCTCATATCCCTAACCTCCTCCTGGACTGCACTGTCCCCTGGCGTGCCACGTGCCAGAGCTCCAGTGTAAGTTTGTCCTCCCTCCTGCAGGCGCCCCCCTCTGAAACCACTCTGCACCCTATAGCATCTGGCTGTCCTCCCGGCCACACTGTGTCCTTGCTTTCCCAGCCCTGCCGCTGCCCCAGCTCAGGCTGCGTCCTCATCCCCTGGTGGATTCTTGCTGTCAGCCTGAACTAGCTCCCTGCCTCCAGCGTGGCCTGCTTCCAGCCAAGCCCATAAGCGCCGCAGGTCAGACTTCAAGATCTGCTCCCCGCCATACCACACAGCCTGTGGCGACAGCTCCGTGCCTGCACACCTCTGCCCTCGTGGCATCCTCTTACAAGGTTTCCGCTGTAAACTTCAGCCTTGCACGGTGCTTTGGCTCCGCAGTTGAGATGCAACACGAGTCCTTTTGTACAAATTACGAGTTGTGTGGTTCCTTCCAGCAGAAGGGTCTGCCCATGTGAGTTACATTAGTCTCTGGTAGAGTTCCTAATTGGGGCTCAGCTGTCTTTGTTCCTCCCAGCTGCTTCTGTAGGGCAGGCCCTTAAATGTCTTTGGTGTTGAAGGCAGGAAGGAGAGGTGCTGACATTTGTGGTTATCAGAATAAAGTGGGTGAGTTGCTCAGGGCCGTCTTAGAACATTTGAGCCCAATCTGGAAGTGTAGCTGGATCTGGGATAAGCCAGGAAGGAACAGGCTGCCAGAGACCCTGCAAGCTACCGTGACTTGTGCTTCTCACACTAGCTTGGAAATGGGTTTGTTCACTAGCGTAGCCCCTTGCACAGGAAGAGGCCTCCCCACCTCTCTGAAATGACCCAGGCCTGCCCACCAGGAGGGAGGGTGCTATAGCTTGAAGAGGCCAAGAGTTCACAGCTGGGGTGGGGCAGGGAGTATAGAGCGGGGAATCCTGGTCACCTACGTCACTGGTGGTCAGGCAGGGGGGCCAGGGAGTTTGGTTTCTCTTTTAATAACAATGATTAACAGTGAGTGAGTGCTGACAGGGTGCCAGGTACTGGCCAGGACTCAGTCCCATTGTTCTGCACCTGCTGTGAACCGGGCCTTCTGTGTGGTCCCAGTTAGACATGGAGCAGACAAACCCTGGAATTACCAGGCTTGCCGAAGAACTGAGGACAGCTAGGATTATATGGGCTGAGTAAGGGGTTTCCTTCCACCCACCCCTGGCACTCATGTGCGCAGAAGGAGTGGATCCTGTGTGTGTTGTCACACACGCAGTTGGTTTGCTTTGCACACACTGCTGTCTTTATCCCAGTTCCACCTGTGTTGCCTTCAAGCCCAAACTTGAAGCCTAAGTCTCCAGTTTCTCCACTCTAGTGCTGCTGAGTGACGATCTTCACTCCAAGTGCTTCCCTGGCCGGTGCAGTGGAAAAGATGGTCCGTGGGGAACTGTGGTTCAGGGCCGAGGGCAGGCAGCACAGCTAAGGGCTGCTGTCCTCCCCTGCCCTGGAGAAGGCCACTCGGCTCTCCTGCTGTGGTAGGCAGACCGAAGCCCAGGATCACGACCTGTGGACGATGGCGTTGGGAGCCTTGGGTCTCCAGGGACTAACCCTGTTTTGTTTTGTTTTGTTTTGTTTTGTTTTGTTTTGTTTTGTTTTGTTTTGTTTCGTGTGTGTGTGTTTTTACCTGGGCTCCTATTTCTTCTCTGTATGTTGGCCTTAAAGATGTCGTGTATGATCTGACTTAGGACAATAACAGAGTTTGTATTGGAGGCTTGGAGCACCTGCCTCTGCTCAAAGGGAACATTTCTACTGAGCAGGGAACAATGGTTGGGGCTGCTTTTGCCCACAAAGTGATGTGCTACTTTGCTCTCTTTCTGTGCTTCCTCTGCCCCTTTCCTTCCTTCCTTCCTTTTTTTCTTTTTCTTTCTTTTTTTTTTTTTTTTTATTCCCTGAATATGCATGTATCCATGAGCATTGCTTAGCCCTGCTGCCAGCAGGCAGGTCCCTGTCCCTCCTAGGGGACCATGTACATGACGCCTCCAGCCCAGTGGCTCTCCTCTGCTAGCTGAGCACGCTGATACATGGAAGAATGGCCCACCTCCTGACCCCTGACCCTGGGCTGTCATCATTCATTAGAGCACACTGATTTATTCATAAGTCCTAGGTCTTTGCCAGAAAAATTCTGCCCTGTCCGTCCCTCTGGTTAGCAACGGAGGGGCTGGGCTGGCACTGAAGATGTCCTAGCAGTTAAAAAATGCCAGTAATCCCCACCTGCTCTCAGCCTTTGTGGGACTGTGGAAATATGTGAGCTAATTCTCCAACAATTGCTAACATTTTCTCTAACGCATTTGTTACTGAAGCCGTGGGTCCTCCCGTAATCTGTTTTCATTAGTTATGCTTTTCCATCATCTTCGGGGTCCAAAATAGCAAAATGACTTACAAGGTTCTGGAGACTTTGTGATACACCTGCTGTTTGGGTTTGTTGCCAGTCCAGGAGAATCCGCTGGGTCATGAAAGGAGGGAGATGAATAAGCCTCCCGTTCTCATGAGATTCCATCAGCGATGCCCTAAAGTGTGCTTGTCTTTTTACACCCTTTGGAGATTTTCTGTTGCTGCGTGGCGTAGAGAGGAAGTCGTTGCTTGCGAGTGTCTGAGATTTACACTTGCTTCTTTCTTTTTCCCCCAGAGTTGAGAGTCATGGCCGCGGGAAAGTTTGCCAGCCTGCCCAGAAACATGCCAGTGAGTCACCCGTCCCCCCTGGCCTCGTCCATGGACCTTCTGAGCAGCACGTCCCCTCTCGCCGAGCACCACGCTGACGCCTATCCAGACGCCTCCATACATGGCACCCTGCCGCGGAAGAAGAAGGGCCCTCCTCCCATCAGGTCCTGTGACAGCTTCAGCCACATGGGCACCCTCCCTCATGCCAAGTCCCCGCGGCAGAGCTCGCCTCGGACCCAGGATGTCATCCGGGAGAGCCCACTGCAAGACTGGAAGGGCGAGACCTTCACCTTCAGGTAGCTGCCCTGACTTGCTGGTGAAAGTGCCTTGGTGTCTAGGACTTTGGAAAGCATCCTTTATTAGGAAAAGTGAGACAGATACAGAGTTGAGCAGGTCATTTAGCTAACTCCTGTGGGCCCATCCCCCAGCTTCAATAGTCATAAACTCATGGCCAGTATTATTTTTAATCTGTTCCCGGCCACTGTCCCTCTTCTGGTATCATCATCATCATCATTATTTTAAAGGTTTATTTTTTATTTATTTGAAAGGTAGAGGTACAGAGAGAGGGGGAAAGACAGAGAAGGAGATCTTCCATCCACAAGTTCACTCCCCAAATGGCCAGAGCTGGGCCAGCCCAGAGCCAAAAGCTTCTTCTGGGTCTCACACATGGGTGCAAGGGCCCAAGAACTTGGGCCATCTTCTACTGCTTTCCCAGGCCATGAGCAGGGAGCTGAGTCAAAAGTGGAGCAGCTGGGGCCAGCATTGTGGCATCAAGGGTTAAGCCTCAGCCTGTGGGGTCAGCATCCCATTTGGGCCGCAGTTCAAGTCCTGGCTGCTCCTCTTCCAATCTAGCTCCCTGCTAATAGCTTAGGAAAGCAGCAGAGAATGGGTCAAGTCCTTGGGCCCCTGCACCCATGTGGGAGACCTAGAAGAAGCTCCTGGCTCCTGGCTTTGGTTTAGCCCAGCCCCGGCTATCTCAGCCATTTAGGGAGTGAACCAGTAGATGGAAGATCTCTCTCTCTCTCTCTCTCTCTCTGTGCATCTCTGCCTTTCAAACAAATAAATCTTAGAAGAAAAAAAAAAGTGGAGCATTTGGGAGACAAACTCATGCCCATAAGGGATGCCAGCATTGCAAGCAGATGTTTAACCCACCGAGCCACAATGCCAGTCCCAAAAGGTACATTGACATTATAAGCCTCAGGGTTTCACCAGGAAAGTTCTGCCCAGTCCTTCTGAGTGTCTTAAGGGTTGCCTGGCGTTGAAGACATTCTAGCAGCTGACTCACTGCAGTAACCTGCTCTGACACTTAGGCTGGTGACAACATGTGAGCTCACAGGGTAGCTCGCAGTGTATCTGAAACAATGTCGTCCCCAAACTTGTATTCTAGTGAGGGACCTAGAGAGGAGGTCCAAGGGGTAAGTAAGGTAACTGCACAGTGTAGCAAATGCTCTAGAGAAAATTCCATGATGCGCTGCTGATTTACTGAGAACAGTGGCTCTTGGTAGGGTGGGCAGGTGTCTAAGGAGGTGATAGTAAATCTAAGACTTGGCAGCCATGGGCCTTCCAAGCTGTTGCAAGCACAGGCAAATTGAGGATAGAAAACTATTGGGAGCAAGTTTGGCATCTTTTATTCTTGTAAAATTTGTTTGAGAGGTTGAGTTACAGAGAGAAAGGGGGAGAGACAGAGGGAAACAGATATTCCACCTGCTGGTTCACTCCCCAAATGGCCGTGACGGTCAAGGCTGGGCCAGGCTGAAGCCAGGGTGCAGGGGCCCAAGTACTTGGGCTGTCTGCTGCCTTTCCGTGCACCCTAGCAGGGAGCTGGATGGGCATTCCAGTATGGGAATCTAGCGTTGTGTCTTAGGTAGTGACTAAGCCTGCTGCACCATGACACTGGCCCAAGTTTGGCATCTTTGGAATAATGCAAAAGGAAGCTAGTATGGCGTGTGGCTAGAGTGTAGTAAGTCAAGAGGAGAGTGGTATAGATGTTGTTAGAGCTAGGTAGACCAGTGTTCAGAATTAGTTTTAGGGGCAGGCATTTGGCATAGCAGCATACCTGCATCCCGTATCAGAGTGCTTGGGTTCGAGTCCTGGCTCCACTCCAATTCTAGCTTCCTGCTAATGTGCATGTAGGAGACCTGGATTGGGTTCTCAGATCCTGGGTTTGGCCTGGCTTCTCAAAACAATTCAAAATTTAAAAGTTTTTTGAAAGAATTAGCTTCTGTCTCTAATTGTAGTAGTGTAAGAAGGAAACAAGTGGAGGCCCAGATATTCTCTGTAGAAAGCATTAGAGATCCCTAAAATGTTCCTGGCACTGAATTGGAAAGTTCCCCCAATGTGTCCTGGGCCTGCTCCACAAAATCTAAGTGGGCGACCTTGGCACTCAGATCTCGCTGCTGATGAAACAGGTGGATACGGAGGCACATACCCGAGCCTTGTATTGTTACTGTCCCTTAGTTGGCACTCAGTGGACAAAGATGCAGGGGGTGAGTGGCAAAGTCCAATCACTTGAGCCAAAACTGAGCACAGATGCCAGCCTGCATAGGCTGGAGTCAGCACCAGCTGTGCCCTTGCTTGTTGAGGACCTTTGTCTTTGTGAACGTAACCTCTGTGTCCAGCCAGGTGTCTGCCACGGACCGGACACAGGCAGGCCACAAACTCCGTGAAGCTCCGAGGTCCTGGCTGGACACCAGCTCTTTGAAGGGACAAACTCGACGGGGGAGATGGGTGGGGAGGAGGTGGTCATGGAGTCGCCCTTTCTAACTTGAGAAGGTTCTTCCTGAGCACCCAAGGCCTGAGCTGGCAGTCTGCCAGGAGTTCAAAGCGTCCCTGTCTGGACGCTGACTTGGACAGAGGTCAGGTCTCTGTAAAAGATCGGAGGTGGGCGGAAGTCCTGGGTTTGAAGTCCCGGCTGTGGAAGCCTAAACAGGCACTGCTAGTTTAGGGTTTATTTATGATTCAGAGCTGTGCTAATCACATCACAACTCGCATCTTTTTTCCCTTAATTTGAAATAACTCATTTTTTAAAAGATGAGTGCGGCAGGGGGGGGGGGGGGGGCGGGGCCCCGGCTCACTAAGGTAAACCTCCCCCCAAGGGGGCCCGGACACCGGGTTCTAGTCCCCGTTGGGGGGCCGGAATTTGTCCTGGGTGCCCCCCTTCCTGGGCAGGTCTCTGCTGTGGCCCGGGAAAGCAGGGGAAGAAGGGCCAAGTGCTTGGGACCTGCACCCCATGGGAGACCAGGATAAGTACCTGGCTCCTGCCATCGGATCAGCACCGGCCGCAGTGCGTTGGCCGCGGCGGCCGTTGGAGGGTGAACCAATGGCAAAAGGAAGACCTTTCTCTCTGTCTCTCTCTCTCACTATCCATTCTGCCTGTCAAAAAAAAAAAAAAAAAAAAAATTAAAAGATGAGTGCAGAAAGTAACAAATGTGTATCCTTCAAAAAGTATGGGGCCGGCGCCGCGGCTCACTAGGCTAATCCTCCGCCTAGCGGCGCCGGCACACCGGGTTCTAGTCCCGGTCGGGGCGCCGGATTCTGTCCCGGTTGCCCCTCTTCCAGGCCAGCCCTCTGCTGTGGCCCGGGAGTGCAGTGGAGGATGGCCCAGGTGCTTGGGCCCTGCACCCCATGGGAGACCAGGAAAAGCACCTGGCTCCTGGCTCCTGCCATCGGATCAGCGCAGTGCGCCGGCCGCAGCGCGCCGGCCGCGGCGGCCATTGGAGGGTGAACCAACGGCAAAAGGAAGACCTTTCTCTCTGTCTCTCTCTCTCACTGTCCACTCTGCCTGTCAAAAAAAAAAAAAAAAAAAAAAAAAAAAAAAAAAAAAAGTATGCTGAGTTAGAAGGCCTGCGGTTGTATGTCAAAGGATCACAAACTCCCATCCTCTCCCTTTCCTAATGCATTTTATTTTTAAAGATTTATGTATTTACTTGAAAGGCAGAGTTACGGAGAGGCAGAGGTAGAGTGAGAAAGAGAGGTCTTCCATCCGATGGTTCACTCCCCAGATGGCCGGAAAAGCAGAAGCTGCACCAATCAGAAACCAGGAGCCAGGAGCGTCCTCTGGGTCTCCCACGTGGGTGCAGGGGCCCAAGAACCTGTGCCATCTCGACTGCTTCCCCAGGCCATACCAGAGAGCTCAATTGGAAATAAAGCAACTGTGGCTCGAACTGGCGCCCATATGGGATACTGGCACTGCAGGCAATGGCTTTACCTGCTACACCACAGCGCCAGCCCCCCTAATACATTTAAAAAAAATTCTCACGAGAGGTCCTGATTTTAGTGGGTTTAGAGTACCTTGTATTCCTTTTTATTTCTAAGTATTCCTACTAAGATTATGAGACTGAATTCCTTCTTGGAACAAGGCATGATAGAAAAAAGGTTTGGGCCGGCGCCGCGGCTCACTAGGCTAATCTTCCACCTTGCGGCACCGGCACAGCGGGTTCTAGTCCCAGTCGGGGCGCCGGATTCTGTCCCGGTTGCCCCTCTTCCAGGCCAGCTCTCTGCTGTGGCCAGGGAGTGCAGTGGAGGATGGCCCAAGTGCTTGGGCCCTGCACCCACATGAGAGACCAGGAGAAGCACCTGGCTCCTGCCATCGGATCAGCACGGTGCGCGGGCTGCAGCGCGGCGGCCATTGGAGGGTGAACCAACGGCAAAAAGGAAGACCTTTTTCTCTGTCTGTCTCTCTCACTGTCCACTCTGCCTGTCAAAAAAAAAAATACAACAATTAAAAAAAAAAAAGGCAGCCTGGGAACGGGAGGATGACAGTGAGATCAAGAACAGAACGTGTCCGCCGCAGGTGCTGCTGCAGAAATGCCTGAGAGAAATTGCACCTCCATTCCTGATTCAGCTCTTACAGTTGAAAGGAGTGCTAAAAACACCTCCACCCCGCTCACCACTTTTTCCTCTTCATGGTGAAGTCGGGAGTGAATTTCTTTTTCTAGATACCAGTTTGAAAACTTCTCATGTTTGTCACATTTGGTGCTGGCCTGGCAATGGTGGGGCCATTCTGGAGAACTCACACTCTCTCTCTATGTATGTCTTAACCTCTGGCCCCATGAAGTATCTTAGTTCCCCCTTAACCACAGTTTGGCCCTCTGTAGTTTCATTTACCCATGGTCAACCACATGATCCAAAAATAATACATAGAAAATTCCAGAAATACTTAATTTATTTTATTTATTTTTAAAGATTATTTATTTGAAAGGCAAAGTTATAGAGAGGCAGATGCAGAGAGAGATACAGAGGTCTCCCATCCACTGGTTCACTCCCCAAATGGCCACAACAGCTGGAGCTGGACTGA